TCTACAGTTATATGAATTCCATCCAACTCAGGAACTCAATGTAGTGACCCTGAAGAAGCTCCCCAGCACATGGAGCGAAACGTCGGACGCCGTGCCGAACCCCGCGTGCCAGTACAGTCCGAGAGCCACTCGCGGGAGAGCCACTCGCGGGAGAGCCACAGCGGCAGCAGCGGCAGCAGCAGCAGCCGCGAGAAGCATCCCGGCCGCACTCCGCCCGCGTGGGCAGCGGCTGGGGACCGGAGTAGGCAGATTACGAGACGCGCCCTGCTCAAAGCGCGCGTCTCACAGACCGATGCGCGCGTGCGCGTGTCTGTCGTCCTAATCGTGTCACTTCGTGCGCGGTGTCGGTGACAGAGCGATCAGCGCGCTGCGCTACGAACCCGACGTCCCGAGTCTCGATTTCCGCTCACGGCCACCAACACCGGTGACGATTATCTGAACCGGCCCTGGGCCTCCCCTAGGTCGACTCAGCCTCAAATGAGTACCTGGGACAGCGTGTAAACATCGCCACTGGGGAGACAAAGGCGGTCCGGCGTGGTCCTGGCCCTCCACCCCTTCGTGTGCCGTGCCGGTCATGATCTGTGCTACTTGCTAACAGCACTTTCCCCAACAGTCGATTCAAGGCTACACGGGGGGATCTCTGTCGTTGTCTAACTTTACTGACACCGATCACGAGTGTGGGAGTGCGTCTTACTCCCCGGGGCGTCTAATTACAATGGGGAGAACGAGGCGTGGGCCGTGAAGGGGCGCGCACTCCAGAGACGACGTCGACCTCGGTTCGAGGAAGCCGCCGGCTGGGTCGCCCCCGAGGCCGCGCGCGGTCCAGGCGATCGCGACGCGATGTCAAACGAAAGCATGACAGTGTTGTTCTTAAAACTCCACAACCACACGCTGGATTTGGGAGCTGGGCATGTAATTACGGGACGGCAAGTTGGGGTTCGTGTACCCGTCTGTGTGGACCAGCGAGTGTCGCGCCCCTCGTGGCCTGCGCGGTGCCGGGGTTTCTCCGGGGTCTCCGGGGTCTCCAGCCCCTCGTCGTGGGCTGTATAGAGGACACGTGTCGTTTGCTGTGTGCAGAGACGTTGTCTGCAGAGACGTTGTCTGCAGAGACGTTGTCTGCAGAGACGCTGTCTGCAGAGACGTTGTCTGCAGAGACGCTGTCTGCTCGTCTCTCGCGTCCTTGAATTCTCCACAGCCGCGCGAACCATGGGGCTCGCGTCTCGTTATTGAAATGGGAAATTGCCAAAACATCCCCCGTGTAGCAGCAGCAGCACGCTCCTGGCAGTGGAGTCTTGAGACTCATTGGAGTGAGTGGCACTTGGGAGTGAGTGACACTTGGGAGTGAGTGGCACTTGGGAGTGAGTGACACTTGGGAGTGAGTGGCACTTGGGAGTGAGTGGCACTTGGGAGTGAGTGACACTTGGTGGAGTGAGTGGCACTCGGTGGAGTGAGTGGCACTTGGGAGTGAGTGGCACTTGGGAGTGAGTGGCACTTGGGAGTGAGTGGCACTTGGGAGTGAGTGACGCTCGGTGGAGTGAGTGGCACTTGGGAGTGAGTGGCACTTGGGAGTGAGTGACACTCGGTGGAGTGAGTGGCACTTGGGAGTGAGTGGCACTTGGGAGTGAGTGGCACTTGGGAGTGAGTGACGCTCGGTGGAGTGAGTGGCACTTGGGAGTGAGTAACGCTCGGTGGAGTGAGTGACACCCGTAGGGGCACAGCCGCTCACGGACTCGTGCGGGAGGGGCGGTCTAACCATCGGTACCGGATTCGAACCTGTGGCGCGCCTCTCGCCTGTTGCTCCTCAGAGAGAACAGGGAAGGAGTTTGCAAACAACAACAAACACCACCGAGCTCCCGGACGAAGTCACGTGACGCCAATTAAGGGTAATTAATGCGCGCGTGATTCACTGCGTTAATTAATTCGTCATGCGTCCCTTATTGGCGTACGGCAAGTCGCGATGACGGATGATGATGATGATGCTGCTGCCGATGATAATAATGATGAAAGTGCTGATGATGATGCTGCTGCCGATGATGATAATGATGAAAGTGCTGCTGATGATGATGATGCTGCTGCTGCCGATGATGATAGTGATGAAAGTGCTGATGATGATGCTGCTGCTGCCGATGATGATAATGATCAAAGTGCTGATGATGATGATGCTGCTGCCGATGATGATAGTGATGAAAGTGCTGATGATGATGATGCTGCTGCCGATGATGATAATGATGAAAGTGCGGATGATGATGATGCTGCCGATGATGAAAGTGCTGATGATGATGATGCTGCCGATGATGATAATGATGAAAGTGCTGATGATGATGATGCTGCTGCTGCCGATGATGATAATGAAGAAAGTGCTGCTGCTGATGATGCTGCTGCCGATGATGATAATGATGAAAGTGCTGATGATGATGATGCTGCTGCTGCCGATGATGATAATGATGAAAGTGCTGATGATGATGCTGCTGCTGCCGAATTATCGAACTCGGGTGGCTGCGATCGTAGCGCAGTTTGCTGACCACTACGCCACCGCTACCCACTTGCTTGCACGCAAAAAAGACAAAGATCCCCCGTATAGCCTGTAACAGACTGCTGGGGCAAGTGCTGTTAGCGAGCACCTATGAAGTTCTGCCCGGTACTTGAGGGGGTGGGTGGCCAGCACCACGCCCGGCCGCCTTTGTCTCCCTAACGGCGATGTTTACATATCGCACCAGGTACTCATTTGAGGCCGAGTCGACATATGGGAGGCCCAGGCATGGTAAAGATAATCGTCACTGGTATTGGCCTTTAGAGGGAATCGAACCCGGCCCGCCAGATTCGTAGCACAGCGCGCTAACAGCTACACCACCACTCCCCACTTGCACACACACACAGACACACACAGACACACACACACAGACACACAGACAGACACAGACACACACAGACACACACAGAAACACACACACAGAAACACACACACAGAGACGCACACACAGAAACACACATACAAACACACAGACAGACACTGAGACACACACACACGGCACTACTACGCCCGGCCGCCGCTGTTGCTGCTGTTTACCCATGGCACCAGGTACCGTGCTAAATTAAGGATGGACACGATGAACACGCGTGGTATGGACGCACCTATCCATACATAGACATAGCTCCGCCGTACATCCTAAACGGCCCTTTGTAGCACCGACTACGAAGGCCGGCACAGCACACGCGGGAGTGGTGTATCCAGGACCACGTCCGGCCACATTTGTATCCCTCGTGGTAATGTTTACACACCGTACCAGGCACTCATTTGAGGCTGAGTCGACCTAGGGGAGTCCCAAGCACGGTAAAGATAGTCGTCATTGGTTTTGGCCGTGAGCGGGAATCGAACACGGATCGCCGGGTTCGTAGCGCAGCGCCCTAACCACGACACTACCACTCCCCACGTATACACATATACATAGTATATACAAATACATACAACTATACACACGAGGCACACGCATACACGCAGACACGCCAATAGACAGACACGGTACACAGACACGCACACACGAACACACAAACACACACACACACGAACACGCACACACACACGAACACGCACACACACACGAACACGCACACACACACGAACACGCACACACACACAAACACACACACACACGAACACGCACACACACACGAACACGCACACACACGAATACGCACTAACACACGAACACACACACACACACGAACACGCACACACACGAACACGCACACACGAACACACACACGAACACACACACCCACGAACACACACACGTGCACTAACGAAAACAGCGACACACGTTTACTGACGCAGTTGGGATGCGCGCTTGCACGTAAACACCAACACACGTACATTCGTGCAAACGCAGACACGAGTACTTTAACACACACACATATATACAAAGACAAAGAACCCCCGTATAGCCTGAACAGAGGGGGTGGGTGGCCAGCACCACGCCCGACCGCCTTTGTCTCCCCAGTGACGATATTTTTACACACTACACCAGGTACTTATTTGAGGCTAAGTCGACCTAGGGGAGGCCCAGTACAGGTTCAAATAATTGTCACCAAACCCGGCTCCCTGGGTTCGTAGCGCAGCGTAGCGCTAACCGCGACACGACCGCTCCCCACATACGCACACACAGACACACGTCAACATACATGTTAACCCACCCACTCACACACGTCAACATACATGTTAACCCACCCACTCACACACGTCAACATACATGTTAACCCACCCACTCACACATGTACACACGTCTGGAAACTCACACAGAACAAACAAAGATCCCCCGTGTAGCCCCAACGGATTGTTGGGGCAAGTGCTGTTCGCGAGTAGCAGTGGGTTGTGTGGCCCGCGCCACTCCCAGGCCGCCTTTGTCTCCCCGGGGCGGATGCTTACGCGCCGCACCAGGAACTACATGAAGGCGGAGTCGACCTCGGAGATATCCGCCACTATTATTCTAAATAATTATCTCGCAATCAAACGTGGGTCGCCTGGTTCGTAATGCAGTGCGCTAACCGCTGCGCCACCGCTCTCCGCACACCCACACATACAGTATACAAAGACACGTGTACACACACGTGCGCTCACATATACACACGTACACGCACGCACATGTGTACGCACATGTGCGTACATTTTATACGCACGCGAGTACGAGTACGCACGCACATACTTGTACACAAAGACAAAGATAACCCGTATAGCCTTACCAGACTGTTGGGGTAAATTTTGTTAGCGAGCACCTATGAAGTTGTACACAGATACACACACACACGTGTACACACACACACAACGTGTACACACACACAACGTGTATACACACACAACGTGTATACACACACGTGTACACACACACACACGTGTACACACACGTGTACACACACACGTGTACACACACACGTGTACACACACACGCACGACGTGTACACACCGTGCACACACACACACACGACGTGTCCACGCGCTCTCGTACCCTCCGGCTGCGCCGTGTCGCTGCCGCTGCTCAGGCCCCCCAGCTCCATCTGCCTCGCGCAGGCGACGCCCCGAGCCCCCCCCACTTCGTCCTCGTCGTGCGCGGCCCCCCTCGACCCCGGGGGGGGCTGCTGGACCCTGCGCAGCGCCCCCGCCGCCTCCTCCAGGTCCAGCAGGTGGCTCACGGAGAAGTTCTTGGGCGCCTGCAGGTTGACCCCCCCGGGGTCGACGCCCGAGAAAGGTCCCTGCTTGTCCACCCCGGCGCCGTGCATCGTCCCACCGCCACCACCTCCACCACCTCCTCCTCCGCCACCTCCACCTCCGCTCATGGTCAGACCGAGCGGGCTCCGCAGGATGAACCGGGGGTTGCTATCAAAGCGGTCGGTCGGGAGACGCAGCCAGCCGGCTCAAGGGCGGAAGTCAACAAGCGCGCAACGCTTGGCCAGGAATCATCATCATCAGCACCATCAGCAGCATCATCATCAGCACCATCATCAGCACAAGATCAGCATCATCGTCGTCATCAGAGTCATGCGGAGCGAGGAGATCCGATCATCATCATCATCATCAGTCGCCCCAGCCCGATCCGATTCCTGTTGCCCGAGACGACGAGCAGCAGGAGCTGCAGCAGCAGGAGCAGCAGGAGGAGGTGGTGGAGGTCCTCCCGAGTCGCCGCGACTGGGAAGTTGCCGCGACCCGCGGAGTCGCCCCGCGTCGCTTTACGCCGCGCGCCGCGCTCGGCCCCACGCCCCGCGCGGCTCCCATTGGTCAGGGGGTGAGCGGGGAGGGGGCGGGGGGACGAGGCCCCCTCTACCCCCACCCACCACACGATACCCATACACACATACCCATACATACACACACATACCCACACACACACATACACACACATACCCATACATACACACATACCCATACACACATACATACACACACATACCCATACACACATACATACACACATACCCATACACACACATACACACACTAACAACCCACACACACATACACACACAAACAACCCACACACACAAACACCCCCCACACACAAGATCCCCCGTGTAGCCTTAACAGACTGTTGGGCCAAGTGCTGTTTGCGAGCACGGCACACGAGGGGTGGGTGGCCAGCACCACGCCCGGCCGCCTTTGTCTCCCGCAGTGGTCAATGTTACACACACATCACACTCGGTACTCATTCGAGGCTTAGTCGACCTGTAGGAGGCCCAGTTACACCCTCATACACACACACCCATCCCACTCTGACTCACAAACACCCCCCCCCCCCCCACACTCATACACACTCAAATATATTCTCATACACAAAGATTCCCCCTTTAATGGGCTGCTGGGGCGAGCGCTGTGTGTGTGTGCGCAATGAAGGCCGGGACGGCACGCGAGGGTTCGGTGGATCGCACCACGCCCGGCCGCCTTTGTCTCCCCAGTGCTGATACTCACACCTCGCGCCAGCTACTCATTTGAGACCGAGTCGACCGAGCGGAGGCTTCGGACCGGTTCAGAGAATCGTCACCGGCGTTGGCCGTGAGCGGAATCGAACTCGGGTCGCCGGGCTAATAGCGCAGCGCGCTCGCCACTACACTACCGCCTCCCAATTACCCCCATACACTCACTCACACTCTCAATCACACCCCCCCCCCACTCACCCACACCCCACCATAACACTCCCCACACTCACACACACTCCACACTCCACACTAACACACCCCACACTCACACACACACGCCCCCACACACACTCTCAATCACACACCCCCCACTCACACACACCCCACACTCACACCCCCACACTCACACACACTCCACACTCACACACTCACACACACCCTCACACACACTCCACACTCACACACACCCCTACACTCACACACACTCCACGCTCACACCCTCCACACTCACACACACCCCCACGCTCACGCACACTCCACACTCACACACACTCCACACTCACACACTCACACACACCCCCACACTCACACACACTCCCCACTCACACACACTCACACGCACTCCACGCTCACACCCCCCACACTCACACACACCCCCACGCTCACACACACTCCCCACTCACACACACTCACACACACCCCCACGCTCACGCACCCCACTCCCCGCGGCCCAGCCGCCAATAAAATCGGACTTCAAACGCGGCCCAAAGTGGCGTGGACGATTTGATTTGAGCGATTAGAGCGCGGGTGACTCGCGGGGAGGGGTGAGTGAGGAGCGTGAGTGGTGTGAGTGTGAGTGAGTGGTGTGAGTGAGTGAGTGGTGTGAGTGAGTGGAGTGAGCGGTGTGAGTGAATGGAGTGAGTGGTGTGAGTGAGTGGAGTGAGTGACTGGTGTGAGTGAGTGGTGTGAGTGAGTGGAGTGAGTGAATGGAGTGAATGGAGTGAGTGAGTGGAGTGAGTGAGTGGTGTGAGTGAGTGGAGTGAGCGTGAGAGTGTGAGTATGTGAATGAGTGTGTAAGTGTGAGTGTGTATGAGAGTGAGTGTGTGTGAGAGTGAGTGTGCGAGTGAGTGGTGTGAGTGAGTGAGAGTGAGTGTGTGTGAGAGTGAGTGAGTGTAAAAGGGAGTGTGTGAGAGAGTGAGTGGTGTGAGTGTGTGAGAGTGAGTGAGTGTTTTAGTAAGAGTGAGAGGAGTGCACGGTGAGAGTTCTGAAGTTCCTCTCCCTCCATTCTCTCCCTCCCCGCTGTCCCCAGAGGGGGGGGGGGGGGTGTGAAGAGATCGCGGCCTGGGAGCAGAGCCGAGGGAAGAGAGTGAGGGAGGGGGGGAGAGAGACGGGGACAGGGGAGGGAGGGGAGAGAGAGACGGGGAGAGAGTGGGAACGGGCAGAGACAGGAAGACGGGGAGAGAGTGGGCAGCGTGAGAGGGTGACGCGGAGAGAGTGGGGTGAGAGCGCGGGACGAGAGAGAGGAGTGAGAGAGCGTGTGGTGAGTGAGAGGAGTGAGTGAGCGTGGGGTGAGTGAGAGGAGTGAGTGAGCGTGTGGTGAGTGAGAGGAGTGAGAGCGTGTGGTGAGTGAGAGGAGTGGGAGGGCGCGTGGTGAGTGAGTGAGAGGAGTGAGTGAGCGTGTGGTGAGTGAGAGGAGTGGGAGGGCGCGTGGTGAGTGAGAGAGAGGAGTTAGAGGGCGTGTGGTGAGTGAGTGAGAGGAGTGAGTGAGCGTGTGGTGAGTGAGAGGAGTGAGTGAGCGTGTGGTGAGTGAGTGAGAGGAGTGAGAGCGTGTGGTGAGTGAGAGGAGTGGGAGGGCGTGTGGTGAGTGAGTGAGGGGAGTGAGAGGGCGTGTGGTGAGTGAGAGGAGTGAGTGAGCGTGTGGTGAGTGAGTGAGAGGAATGAGTGAGAGGAGTGAGTGAGCGTGTGGTGAGTGAGTGAGAGGAGTGAGTGAGCGTGTGGTGAGTGAGAGGAGTGAGTGAGCGTGTGGTGAGTGAGAGGAGTGAGTGAGCGTGTGGTGAGTGAGAGGAGTGAGTGAGCGTGTGGTGAGTGAGTGAGAGGAGTGAGTGAGCGTGTGGTGAGTGAGAGGAGTGAGTGAGCGTGTGGTGAGTGAGAGGAGTGAGTGAGCGTGTGGTGAGTGAGAGGAGTGAGTGAGCGTGTGGTGAGTGAGAGGAGTGAGTGAGCGTGTGGTGAGTGAGTGAGGGGAGTGAGAGGGCGCGTGGTGAGTGAGAGGAGTGAGTGAGCGTGTGGTGAGTGAGTGAGAGGAGTGAGTGAGCGTGTGGTGAGTGAGTGAGAGGAGTGAGAGGGCGTGTGGTGAGTGAATGAGGGGAGTGAGAGGGCGCGTGGTGAGTGAGAGGAGTGAGTGAGCGTGTGGTGAGTGAGAGAGAGGAGTGAGAGGGCGTGTGGTGAGTGAGAGGAGTGAGTGAGCGTGTGGTGAGTGAGAGGAGTGAGTGAGCGTGTGGTGAGTGAGAGGAGTGAGTGAGCGTGTGGTGAGTGAGAGGAGTGAGTGAGCGTGTGGTGAGTGAGAGGAGTGAGTGAGCGTGTGGTGAGTGAGTGAGAGGAGTGAGTGAGCGTGTGGTGAGTGAGAGGAGTGAGTGAGCGTGTGGTGAGTGAGTGAGAGGAGTGAGAGGGCGTGTGGTGAGTGAGAGGAGTGAGAGCGTGTGGTGAGTGAGAGGAGAGGAAGAAGAGAGGCGGGGGGGATGCGCCTTGGACTCCTCTCCGAGTCTCTCGCTCTCCCACGCGGACGCGAGCGTCACGGGGAGGAGGAGGGGGTGAGGGGAGGAGGGGGGAGGAGTGAGAAGTGGAGTGACCAGGACATTGGAATTGCCGCGGCTCGGCGCGTGCCAAGTCCCTGACTCGGGCTGAGCCCATAAATCAGCGACGTTTCCGACTGCAGTCCACACCACGCGCCCCCCCGCGGGCACGGGGAGCGTGGGGGGGGCGGTGGTGGTGGAGGAGGAGGAGCAGGGGGAGGGGACGGAGTCCCCGGTGGGAGAGACGAGGGGGAGACGGAGGGGGTCGTGGGGAGACCGGGCGGCAAGTTCTCGCGGGGGGGATTGTGGGAGACGGGGAGAGAGGGGAGAGGGGGGAGACACCACGAGAGAGACACCACGGGGGAGACGCCAACGAGACGCGGGAAGGGACGGGGGTGGGAGTTACGGGGGGTGGGGGGCTGGGTGAGATGGGGGAGTAACGTGCCCCCCTCCCCCCGTGCCCGCCGTGTGCTGGCGGCCTTCACGCTGATGTCTTATCAGCGAAAGTGGCCCTCTGCAAATGAGTGACGAGCACAGCTCGGAACGCAGCTTGAGTCTGAATGTGGAGGGAGACGATGCACGCAAGCGCCAGGAGAACACGCAAACTCCAAATGTAGAGCAGGCGTCAGGGTCGCGGTCGGACCCAAGACTCCCTGTACACCAGGCGAGGGAGTTAACATCCCACCACCGTGACTAGCGAGACGACGCCAGGCAGGGAGACCCGTGATGAGTGGGCGATGTGGTGATGGTGGTGGTGGGTGATGTGGTGGTGGTCGTGGTTGATGGTGATGTGGTGGTGGTGGGTGATGTGGTGGTGGTTGATGGTGATGTGGTGGTGGTCCTAGTATGAAAGCAACAGGGTAATGGATCAAAGCCCACTGTTGCACTGTACTTCCATGATCTCCAATACCTTCACCAACCCGCACTGACCAGCGTGGTGAAGTATGGTCATAACACCCACACAACCACCACAGGCGTGGGAAGGGGGCTCTCAAAACTCCACTCATCCAACAGTGGATTAGCAAAGTGTGAGTACCTGGTGCGGTGCGTAAACAGCAGCACTCGGGACACGGAGGTGGTGGACGTGGTGCTGGCCACCCATCACCACGCGTGCCGTGCCGGCCTTCAGAGGTGCTCGCTAACTGAACTTTCCCCGACAGTCTGTTAAAGGCGACGGGGGGGGGGGGGTCATTGTCGTTGTTGCGACTGTGTTAATTACTCGTTACTTCTGGAGCGAACTTCACACCGATAAAGAACACAAACAACAACTGGCAGCTCGCCGGCAATGGGCCGAGGAAGCCTGGCCTTGCTGATGACTCACTGAATGCAGAAACCGGTCCAAAGTGTCGCTCAGTGTGGACATCAATGCGTCTGAGATGATGCACTCCCAGGAGGAAGTCTGCGTGCGGCTGATGTGATGTGTGAACGACCGCGCCGTCTCGTGTGTGGGGGGTGCAGGGAGACGCAGATTGCGTCTTCATTCCAGCAACGTCAGCGCCGGCGTCTGGCAGCGCTGTGCGCGGGAAGTTGGGCACGGATCTGCAACTCTCTTGGAGCTGAGATCATTTCTGGACCATTGTATGGTAGAACGTACTCGGCAGGTAATGTGAGATATCGACAAAGCAATGTACATGACACCGTCGGAAACTTTATTTATGAAGAATACGCAATTAGGTTGTGGTCGAGCAATCTAGATTGAAAAGTAATTTCTTTAAAACTGTTTGTTGTGTTGAGTTTGTTGTTGAGTTTGTTGTCCTTCCGCCCGCATCTCCGACGAGCACGGTTGGCTACGTACTGTGCGAAAGAAGTTCAACATAGATAGTTCATAGAACTGAGACTTGCGCACAGAGAGGTGGAGAGACGCGCGCGAAGAGCCCGGGAGCTCAATGCCAATGTGGAGATCTGCTGCTGCTTGCTGCTGCTGCAGCCTGCTGCTGCTGTTGCCGCCGCTGCTGCTGTTGCCGCTGCTGCTGCTGCTGCTGTTGCCGCTGCTGTTGCTGTTGCCGCTGCTGCTGCTGCTGTTGCCGCTGCTGCTGCTGCTGCAGCCTGCTGCTGCTGCAGCCTGCTGCTGCTGCCGCTGCTGCTGCTGCTGCTGCTGCTCGCCACGACAAGAGAGAGAGAAAGGGCTTCGGCAGAGAGAGAGGGAGAAGTCGTGTCAGTCTGCTGTTTCTCCGTCTCCTGTTGAAGGAGCGCAGACCAACTGAATCGCTTGGGTTGCCTGGTCACAATCGCACGACTGTGACTCGTGTCTTGAACATATCTCAGTGTCTCGATAGTGTATATCTACGTATCTCCACGTGTCTCTCCGCGTCTCTGTATCTCTATGACTGTCTGTGGGTCTCTGCACACGATCTCTATGAGTCTCTCTGTATATCTCTGTATCTACGGGCTCACGATACGGGCCGTAGTTCGCGCTGCATGGCCACGGTCGCACTCATGTCGCTGTGTATTCAAGTTTCTATTGATGAAGACGAAGCTGTGGTGCGCATCCGCCTGTTGATGTTCTTGATGCGGTCGATGGTTCCACCGCTGCCCTCGAGGAGGAACAGGAGGGGGGGATGACGCACCCAGGAGGTGCGCGATTTGTGGGTCTCCGGGCTGTTCATTCTGGACGCGCGCGCTGTTCCATTCTGTTCGCCAGCAGCTGCAGCAGCAGCTGCAGCAGCAGCTGCAGCAGCAGCTGCAACAGCAGCAACAGCAGCGGCAGCAACAGCACCAGCAGCAACAGCAGCAACAGCTGCAGCAGCAGCAGCAACAGCTGCAGCAGCAACAGCAGCAGCAACAGCAACAGCAGCAGCAGCAGCAACAGCAGCAGCAGCAACGCGATCCCAGATGGGACATTGGGACTTGGGTGGTCGGTGATGGCCATTGTTGAGATCTCGGTTGGTGACGGGTAGCAGGTTGTCGTTGGCAAGAAAACATGGAATCTCCCTTTTGCAGTTTGAGATGGTGACACAGAGAGAGAGAGAGGGGCGCCTGGGTTGGAGGCGCCGATTGGACACGCGGCGAGAGGAGACGAAGGCCGATGGCTGAGAATACAAACGGAGCGGCAGCCAAGGGGTGAAAGCTCGTCTGGGGAGGAGGAGATGGAGCGGTGAGGTCAGCGCGTGTGCAGATGCCCAGTGGACTGTTACATCGCAGGGTTGGGCCTCCATCCAGCAGCGGATTAAGTGCGTCTGACGACGCTCTGATTCACGGGTGTCCTGCACGCGCCTGCGGGCCGAAGGGCCTCCGCTGGAGGAGGAGGAGGCGCTGTGGAGGCGCGGCCACAGAACGTGGCAGCGCAGAGCCCGGCGACCCGATTATCTGAACCTCCCCTAAGTTGACTCAGCCTCAAATGAGTACCCGGTGCGGTGTGTAAGCATCACAACTGGGGAGATAAAGGCGGTCGAGCGTAATGCTGGCCACCCACTCCTTCGCGTGCCATGCTGGCCTTCAAAGGTGCTTGCTAACAGCACTTGCATCAACAGTGTGTAGAGGCTATGAGGGGGATCTTTGTCTTTGCGTGCGCGTACTCTTGTTTGCAACATCTCCCCAAACCCACCCTCCCCCTCGAGCCCTCCCCCCACCACCCCTCGCTTTGAACCCCGCGTCTCGTCCCACTCGGGCTGTGGTCGGAAGAGCGAACCCCGAGACTGCAGGGAACCTCCAGACACGGAGCCGGGAACCCGGGGGGGGGGGTGCAGGGGGGGGGGGGTGCAGGGGGGGGGGGGGGTGCAAGGGGGGGGGGGGGGGATGCAAGGGGGGGGGGGTCAGAGCGGGCGCGGGGGCGGGGGCCAGGTGCCCCACCCCCCCACAGCAGCAGCCCCGCCCCTACCGCCGAAACCCCCACCACGTGGCGACTTCACGCGGAGCCTCGCACTCACAGAGAGCACAGAAAACACAAAGGCAAAGCTCCCCCGTGTAGCCTGAACAGACCGTCGTGGCAAGTGCTGTTAGCGAGCACCTATGAAGGCCGGCATGGTACACGAAGGAGTGCGTGGCCAGCACCACGCCCACCTTTGTCTCCCCTTTGTCTCCCCTTTGTCTCCCCTTTGTCTCCCCTTTGTCTCCGCAGAGTCGATGTTTACACACCGCACCAGGTACTTATTTGAGGCTGAGTCGACCTAGGCCTGGTCAGACAATCGCCACCAGTGGGGTGCGTAGCGCAGCGCCCTCTCCCTACAGGCTAAAACACGCACACACAACCCCACTAACACACACAAACACACTAATACACAAACACACTCACACAAACACACTAATACACAAACCCACTAACACGCAAACCCTAACACACACTAGCACACTAATACACAAACCCACTAACACGCAAACCCTAATGCACACTAACACACAAACCCACTAACACACAAACCCTAATGCACACTAACACACTAACACACAAACCCACTAACACACAAACCCTAACACACACTAGCACACTAATACACAAACACACTAACGCGCAAACCCTAATGCACACTAACACAAAAACCCACTAACACACAAACCCTAATGCACACTAACACACTAATACACAAACACAAACCCTAACGCACACTAACACACAAACCCACTAACACACAAATCCTAATGCACACTAACACACAAACCCACTAACACACAAACCCTAATGCACACTAACACACTAACATACACTAACACACACTAACACACACTAACACACTAACACACTAACACACACTAACACACTAACACACACTAACATACACTAACACACACTAACATACACTAACACACACTAACACACTAATACACACTAACACACACTAACACACTAACACACACTAACACACACAAACACACACTAACACACAAACACACCCTAACACACACTAACACACACTAACACACACTAACACACAAACACACACTAACACACACTAACACACTAACACACAAACACACACTAACACACACTAACACACAAACACACACTAACACACACTAACACACTAACACACACTAACACACAAACACACACTAACACACTAACACACAAACACACACTAACACACACTAACACACACTAACACACACACACCTAACACACACACACTAACACACCCTAACACACTAACACACAAACACACACTAACACACACTAACACACACTAACACACAACACACAAACACACACTAACACACACTAACACACTAACACACAAACACACACTAACACACACTAACACACACTAACACACAAACACACACTAACACACACTAACACACACTAACACACACACACACACTAACACACACTAACACACTAAACACAAACACACACAAACACACACTAACACACTAACACACAACACACACTAACACACACTAACACACAAACACACACTAACACACACTAACACACACTAACACACAAACACACACTAACACACACTAACACACACTATACACACTAACACACACTAACTAACACACTAACACACACTAACACACTAACACACACTAACACACACTAACACACTAACACACACTAACACACACTAACACACACTACACACACTAACACACACTAACACACAAACACACTAACACACACTAACAACACACACTAACACACAAACACACACTAACACACACAAATACACAAACACACACAAACACACACAAACACACACAAACACACACAAACACACACTAACCACACTAACACACAAACACACAAACACACACTAACACACACTAACACACACAACTCTCCCTACCCCCATCCGTGTCTGCATCTTCTCTTGCTCACCTTTCCCCCCCCCCCCTGTACCCCCTGTACCCCCCCCACCCCCTGTACCCCCCCCCCACCCCCTGTACCCCCCCCACCCCCTGTACCCCCCCCCCTGTACCCCCCCCCGAAACCCCCCCCCCCCACTCCGCCCCCGCGGCGCATGGCGACAGGACCCCGCTCCCGCATCCCCTCGCCGCCGCCACCACCGCCGGACCCCCTCGCGGCCCGGAAGGCCGTGAGCGGGGCCCCCACCCCTCGCGGCTTCATCCCCTCGCCGCAAGCCGAGACCCCGGGGGGCGGGGCCCCGGGCCCCGCGCCTTCAAAGCGGCGCGATTGGAAACAGCTGCGGGGCCCGGCAGAGGAGGAGCGGCGTCGCCTTTCATCGCGAGCCGCGACGCAGTCGCCCGCCGCCGCCGCCACTGCCGCCGCCGCGTTTCATGATTGCATTCCTCGCGAGGAATTCCTCCTCCTGCTCCTCCATGATGATGCTCCTCCTCCATGCTGCTGATGAAGATGATGATGCTCCTCCTCCATGCTGATGCTGATGATGCTCCTTCATGTTGCTGATGATGATGCTCCTCAATCATGTTGCCGATGATGATGCTCCTCCTTCATGCCCCTACTGCTCCTACTGCTCCTACTGCTCCTCACGTTCCTGATTCTGCTGCCCTTCCTGCTGCCCTTCCTGCTGCCCTTCCTGCTGCTCCTCACGCTCCTGCCGCCGCCACGCGAGCGGGCGAGGAGTCGAGTCGATCGACACCGCGCCAGCCGGCGGTGAGGGGTGGTGGGGGGTGGTGGGAGGTGGTAGGGGGTGGTGGGGGGTGGTGGGGGCGGTGGGGGGTGGTAGGGGCGGTGGGGGGTGGTGGGGGTGGTGGGGGTGGTGGGGGGTGGTGGGGGGTGGTAGGGGGTGGTGGGGGCGGTGGGGGTGGTTGTGAGGAGGTAGCGAGGAGGTGATGGTGGTGGTGAGCGGGTGAGAGGCAAGCTGCAGAGGAAGGATGTTGGTGAGGGTGTTGATGAGGGTGTTGGTGAGGGTGTCGGTGAGGGTGTCGGTGAGGGTCTTGCACCTGAGCGATCCCCTCTCGAGCACAGCAAGCACGTGATGACGAGCACACACAAAGACACAGATCCCCCGTACAGCCTTAACAGGCTGTTGGGACAAGTGCTGTTAGCGAGCAGCACCTATGTAAGCATGTACGTTGAACTTCTCTCGCACTGTACGTAACCGACCGTGCTAATCGGAGGTGCGGGGGAAGGACAACAAACTAAACACAGAAGGCGGTTCTCAGGAAATGGGGTTTCAATATCAATGTGTGAAGGTCGGCACGGTACATGGCAGGGATTGGTGGCCAGCACCACTACCCGGTCGCCTTTATCTCCCCAGTTGTAATGTTGTACACATCGCACCAGGTACTCATTTTAGGCTGAGTCGACCTAGGGTCGGCCCAGGATCGGTTTAGATGTTGCCACCAGTGTTGGCCGAGAGCACTGGGAAGACAAAGGCGGCGGGGCATGGTCCGAGCCACACCGTCTCCTCGTGTTCCCTGCCCGCCTTCATAGGCGCTCGTTGCTAGCCCTTGCCCCAACAGGATGGTAAAGGCAATACGGGGGATCTTTGCATCTTTCTCTCCCGGGCTGCAGGACGAATCGACTTCACATCGGCGCTTTTACATCCACGGCAATAATCGTCACGATCATCATCATCATTTATATCATGGTCACCATCATTACCATCATCGACATCAAGATCATCGTCAATCTGAATCATCGTAAACTAAAACTATAAACTAAACTATTTTTTTTATTTTACCGGGTCAGGTCCACAGCTACGGAGTTCTTTTTCAGAAGCGACCTGGCCACAAATGAAAGTCCGACGATGCGCCTGGTCACGTGGGAATGCCTAGCAGCTAAACCCTCTTATATGCACGTTTCTAAATGTGGAGGGGAAACCCGGAGGAACCGGAGAAAAATCCACGCGACCACGGGGAGAGAGACACGCAAATTGCAAATATACAGCAGCAGGCGTCAGGGTCGGGATCGAAACAGTGCTGGATTATCTCAGTAGCAAAAGTCGCTACACATGTAGTAGCTACGGGCCCCGCACTTTCAAGGGCCCCGCGCTAAATGCTTTCAAGATATCAATTCCGGTTTAGTGATTCTACACTTGCTCTATCACTATAGTACTATACCGCCTTCAGCTGTTATGAACGACTGGGTGTTTAAGGTTATCATATTATCTGGCTGTATAGCAAATTAAAAAATACAATTACTTTACTGTGCAAGTAAAAAAAATGTGTTTTAGTATTTACGTGTTTTTATGTATTTAGGGCCCCTTTGTAACGTATGCTATAGGCCTCGCACTCGCTTAATCCGGCACGGGATCGAACCTACGACCTCCTCTATACCAGGCGAGCAAGTTAACATCTCGTCATCGCGTCAAGAGGCTTGCGTTGCTCCAAGCATCGCCATCGTGGTCACGATCCCAAGCAGAGAGTCCGACTCTCTGCAATGGGAACTCAGAAGCAGCTGTCCGTCTTGGGGCTCTTCTAACAATCCTCCTCCAATCGGAGCACTCGGAATACATTGTTTAATGTCATAATGAAATGCCACGATAATATGTGCAGTATTTAGAGGTTTTGAAAATATATATTCTCTAGAATTTACAGAATATTTTGACGAAAGAAATACATTGATAATTATCTATTATAATCGGAGTACAATGTTTTTATTTGCAGAGATTGTAAAATGAACCTGAGTCACTCTTCTGTGTTCATTCGTCCCACTTGTTCGGTGTAGCTACTTATTATTATTATCGCTACATGTTTATCAACGTATTCTTCCGTCGTGTCAATGCAATGTGTATTCGTTACACGAACAATCCCGTGTCACCAGTTACCCAGCTAGTGTCGGTGGCGACGGCTCGCAGCAGCCACTAACAACAACAACAAGAGAGTTACTTTTCGATTTAAAGCTTTCGTGACCGCAGGGATTCATATTCTTGGCTCTTTCGGTAAAGTCACGTGGAAGGGTAAAACAATTTTATTGTTTTATTTTTATTATTTTATTGTGTTTCCCTTCTACGTGACTTTACCTAAAGAACCAAGAATAAGAGAGTTACTGTTGGGGTGAAGAGGCGCCCAGCCAGCAGCCAGCCAAGAAACTTGAGGCATAGATTATTTTTAATTGTATTACGGTCACTTTATTCAGTTTTATCATCAGTATAATAATCATAACCATCATCTACATCAAAATCTGTATCATCGTCAACATCACCAGCCATGATTTATCAACTGCCGGATGAAGGTTTCTCCCGCTACGCTCGGCTGATCACTCAACAGATGCTGCCTCCTCCTTCCAATTTCCATCCCTCCACGTGAGCATATACACGTATGTTTGTATACATCCCATGAGTCACACACACAGCTTCCTTCTTGGAGAGAATTGGTTCGATGAGGCAAAGCAACCCCTGTACCGGTTTCGACATTCAGGGTGTCATCGGCAGAAGCAGCAGGTTGGTCACTAACGGTTTTGTAGCGCAGTGCGCTAACCGCTGCGCCACCGCCACCCACAGGTCTGTGAGGTTGAATGAAAAGCACTGCGAGAAACGGCACGAGAAGAGAAACTCGGCAACTGAAACAACGCGGCCCTGCGTGGAGTGGTTCTCCCTCTGGGGCTGCGTTGTTGGCGGATCTGTTGAGAATCTCAGCGGATCTAGGAACTCACTTTACCCTGAGTCTGCCACGGCCGATGCTCGCCATCCACAGTTCGGTTCTGTTTGGATGAGATCTTAGTGCAGAGTACAATGCGCATGTTCAACGACAACCCTCCACCACCCGGCCACACAGCCGACCAATTCGAGTTGTCACGTGGGCCACGCGAGACTGGAGTCGCTGTGGGGGGGGGGGGGGGGGGGCGCGAGGCGTCGCGGGGACGCGGTGGGGGGGCAATGCCTCCTCGGCTGCCGCCGCCGCCGCATCCGCTCGGGGGGGGGGGGTCCCGAGTTCATCACTCGCCAGCCGCCCACATCCCCCGCCCCGCCCCTTCGTGCCCCCCACCCCCTCAACCCGCACCACCTCTGCCCCCCCCCTCCCTTACCCGGCTAAGGTGCTCGGATTTGGAGTCGGAATCACGACAAGGAGCTCCGGACGAGAGGAGTGACGGCGTGATGGGTCACACACCGCGTGGACGTTCACACGTACAGAGCACTGGAAAGTCAAAGATCACCCATGTAGCCTCAACAGACTGTTGGGGCAAGTGCTGTTAGCTAGTAACACCTAATAGGGCTGCCACGGCGCACGAGGGGTTGGGTGGCAAAAACAACATCGGGCCGCCTTTGTCTCCCCAGGCACTAATTTCACACTGAGTCGACCTAATGATGGCACAGGACGGGTTTCGATATGCGTCGCGGATGTTGGCCGTGAGCGGGAATGTTACTCGGGGTTTCCCTGTTCGTAGCACAACTACCACCGCTCCCCGCAAGCGCAAATACGTGCACACACTGACACACACACATATACATACCAGTGCATACCTGCACACACTTGCACACCTGTAAACACAGCATGTGCACGTATCAGTACAAACGACAGATATGATCTAAATTCGAATGATGTCTCAAAGGGCGAGAGAGATTAAATGCAGCACAGATGTACTGTAGAACAAAACATATTTGCGTATAACTGCGAAACCCACAATATTCAAATTGGGCTCAAGTCGACCCGGCCTTCAATGACGACGTGTCGGTGCGCTGTGTCAAGATGAGCGCTGGGAGACAAAGTCGGCCGGGCGTGGTTCTGGCCACACCGCCCACTCGGGCGCCGCTCTGAATCTCTGCTCGCTAGCAGCACTTGTGCCAACAGTCTGGCAAAGGCCACACGGGGAATGTTAAGTCCATGTGTATACTTACCGTGCGCAACAGAAGAGCGTGACTGGCTGATGGTGTTCCCGAAGGGTTACAGAGCGGAGTGGCTTCTGCCGGTCTCAGGGCAGCGGCAGCGGCAGCGGCAGCGGCAGCGGCAGCGGCAGCGGCAGCGGCAGCGGCAGCGGCAGCGGCAGCGGCAGCGGCAGCGGCAGCGGCAGCGGCAGCGGCAGCGGCAGCGGCAGCGGCAGCGGCAGCGGCAGCGGCAGCGGCAGCGGCAGCGGCAGCGGCAGCGGCAGCGGCAGCGGCAGCGGCAGCGGCAGCGGCAGCGGCAGCGGCAGCGGCAGCGGCAGCGGCAGCGGCAGCGGCAGCGGCAGCGGCAGCGGCAGCGGCAGCGGCAGCGGCAGCGGCAGCGGCAGCGGCAGCGGCAGCGGCAGCGGCAGCGGCAGCGGCAGCGGCAGCGGCAGCGGCAGCGGCAGCATCGGTGGGCCGAGGCGTCCGCGTGCCGTGGAGGGTCTCGCTACGGCTGATGGCCGCACCGCGCCGGCTCCCTGCAGCATCAGCGGTACAAGCCGGGCACGGAACGCGCTCGAGAAGGACGCCACCGAGGAGATGGAGCGATTAAATCAGCTCGTGTGCGGGAGCGAGGCGGATCGTTGCGAGAGAGATGGTCCACGGCTTGGGGGAGGCCTTCATCCAGCAGTGGATAGACCAGGGCTTCTGATGCTTACGA